CAAAAAAAAAAAAAAAAAAAAAAAAAAAAAAAAAAAAAACACACACACACACACAAAGGGAAGGTTCTGTCAGCCATCTAGCCAGAGCATTCTAGATAGACAGTTTCCATTGCTGGTGGAGGAAGTGAAAAAAAACAGCAAAGACAGGCAGGCTGAGGAAGCCCTGACTTCTCCAGGCCTCATTAATGAAGAAGAAAATATAACGGAAGCCTGCCAGGGCATTACGCATAAAGACACGAGCGCCAAAGTATAAGTCCTCCGACTATTACCTTCCGCCTGTCTGGCGGGATTTGCTTTCACTGAAGAATGCCATAGGTAGGGGTGATATTCCGAGGGGATCCACAAGTACAGCCAGGCTGGATTTGGCCTGTGCATTTTATGAATGGCATCTACCTTGACTGGTCACTGCTGCTGCCCAGCTAGCTGTCTCATTCTGTTCTCACTGTCAGCCTCAAACAGGGGCCAATCAAAGCACACAGGAAGGAGTCGAGTAGGCGAGCCACCAGGGCAGACAGTGGTGAACTGAGAAGTACAGGTGAAGTGGACACCAGCTACAGTGTTGAACAGTTTGAAGTTACACGGAACGACATTACTGCTGGATTTTTCAGTTTGTTTAAACAAAATGCCAGCAAGCCATTTCTTACATACACATCTCTACATTTTAAATGTGTATTCCTATTTCAATCTTTTAAGTGCTATATTTGAAACAAAATTCTTCTAAGAGGCAGACCACCGACTGCTGGTTGTCTGCCTGTGACTGCAGAAATGCTTCAAGAAATATTCAACTCTGGAAACTGGGCCTACTGTCTATAATGTATTTGGGGCATAAAGAATTTACCTTTACCAACAGCATCAAAAGAATAGATAATGATTTAAGAAATTAATTCTCCAAAACATCAAAAGTATAATTATGAAAATTTGTTAATAGTAATGCTAATCCTATCATAATCTAACTCACATCTTAAACAGGAATCAGCCTCACATTACCCTCTTTTCCCTACCCTTTAACGCTTCATTTTCCCATCTCTGGATGTTAGCTTACTTGTCCAATGTTCCTTCAAAGCCCATAGGTTAAAGTTTGGTCCTCAGCCTATAAGACAGTAAGAAGCTGACAGGACCTTCAGGAAGGGCAACCTGGCAGAAGGAAGTGAGGACACTCTGGGGTATGGAAACAGGGGTATCCTGGGCCTTTCCTGTCTCTCTCTGCTTCACACACTCAATGAAGTCAACAGGCCTGTTCCGCCATGCACTCCTACCACAAGTCAGAAAGAACAGGGACAAATGACCCTAGACTGAAACTATGAGGCAACAAGAAACGTTTTCTGTTTTGGGTATGTGGTATTGGGTGTTTGCTACAGCACTGACATGCTGACTGACAAGCCAAACTTCTCTTCATTTGAGATGGAGATCAGAGGATTTTTGTAGGGTATTATATGTGTACTATGCTTAGCTCAGTGCCTGGTGAAATAACATCTCAAAAGCCAAGTGTTCTGTGAATATTATTGTGTGAATATGTTGAGTTGACCAGCTCCTCATAGGGCTAATTTACAAAGTGGAAAACTAATGATCCTGACAATTTCACTGTTAATAAGCCTGTCTATGGAATCACTTCTGTATCTACCCTTCTCTTAATGATTCTTTAATTATTTGACATCTACTTCAAATCCTCTGGACAGCTCAGAACCCTTTCCATCCCACCACAAAGAAAAAGGAAGTGAGGTCATTTTACACCAAAGGAAATTAGGACCTCCATCTGCCCTTTTCCCTTAGGAGTGAGCTGCACTTTTCCACCCTGTTTTTTGTTTTGTTTTGTTTTGTTGTTGTTGTTATTAAAGTACCTCATTCTCTCTTCAAACCACATGTATCTGCAGGAATGGGTCTGACATGTTTCCATGCACTAGCTTCTTCTCTGTTTGGCTGTTTGCAATGGTTTCATGTATAACCCAATACAGTGTCTCAGCTCTTTTTTGTTTTTTTTTTTTTAATGACTTGCTTGTTTCACATTTATTTACTATTTATTTATTTTTCTATTTTGTGTGCTAGTAGATGGGTGAGCGTGCGAGCATGCATACGCATGTACTCATGTTAAGGCATGCCTGTGAAAATCAGAGGACAACACATGGGAACCACTTTTCTCTTTCTACCACGTGGGTCCTGGGGTTGAGCCAGGCTCCTCGGTGTTACTTGGTGCTGAGCTGCCTTGCCATCCCTTCAACTGCATTTGAAAGCATGCTATAGAAAATCGAAAAGAGGAATTTATGTACGCCTAACAAGCTAGCTAGTAAACAAAATATACGAGGAATGCAGATAATGTCCTAACAGGAAAACAAGCCGATTTTAAAATGAGCAAGGGAAGAAATGGTTATTTTCTGAGAGTCCGCATAAAGTGGCCAGCAGGTATGTGGAAATATGTCCACCATCACTAGTTATCAGAGAAATGCAAATTCAAACCCCAATAGCACATCACTTCTCACTTGTCATAACGGCTATTACCAAGAAGGAAAAATTGGGAAGACAACAAATGTTAGAAAGGACATGGGGAAATAATGGCAATATAAACTAGCAGGGTTATTCAAACCCAACGTGCCATATGAAATAAAGACACAGTTGCAGTACTATGTTCACTATAACATTGTTCACAAAAGCCAGATACAGAATCAAGCTGGGTGTCCGTAAAAGAAAGGAAGGATAAAGGAAATGTGGATCATGCGTATACATA